ACATACTGGTGTAGACACCCATTTGTGTCTCCCCAAAACCAAACCCAGTGATGAGTACCTTTCACGTCGAATCATAATCGAATGAAGTGAAAGTGTGGAAAGTTTAGTGTTGCGGATAGTTTTAATTTCTTTTCTCTTCTCTCTGTTTTTGAAAATCTATTTTAAGAAAACAGCCAATCCAGTTTGGTTGGTCCATTATATGGGTCCAATAGTAGTGTAGTTGGATAGGGTTTGAAAAGACCTTTCCGACGATATATTATAAGCCCAATTTCGATGAATATTGAGGAAGTTATGGCTAATTTACTGAACTGGGCCCGGTTTGAGCATTGTATGCGGCCCAATGATCTAGAGGAGGGCCTAATATGGATTTATCATTCCTAATGCAATTAGGAATGGTTTTAGTCTTCTAGATTCTTCTAGAAGGTTCTTTTCATTCCTAATTTAATTAGCATTGATAAATTGACTTTTGTTGACTTTTAGAGTTTTAATCAGAATAAAAGAACGTTTTTGAGGAAAATACGATTTTATCCTCCTGTACGGCAATTTCTATCTGATTTTAAGAAAACGCGTCAAATTCTTAGTCTGCGCCAAACGCCAGCATTAGCGCCTGACGCTACGCTTGGCGCCTGGCACTAATGTCAGCGTCTAGCGCCAATCCTGGTTTTACGTGTCAGAACTCTATTTTGATTTTATATCTTTTTGGTTGATTTTCTTTATTAATATCATTCTAAAAACTCCATTTTCATTCACCAACTCTCATCAAGATTCTCTTGATTACTCTCTCTCTCTCTCTCTCTCTCTCTCTCTCTTCTAAACTAGCCTTTTCTCAAAATATAAAAATTCCGCATTCATTAGACTTAGAAACACCTAGCCAAATTCGAAGTTGCCTTCGCCCTAGACGTGAAAGGTTTAATTCCTGAGGGTTTGGTCCCAAATCTCTCTTTCAATTATTTAATTTAATTGTTTGTTTATTATTTTCCTTGAAGTTACTAACGCGTGTATTTTGTTATTAGAAAGAGGTACGAGGCATCCAAGTAAGTGTTTTAATTGTTTACATTGTTATTACTATGTAGAAATCATGTTAGGATGTTTTATTGCTTCCTAGTATCATGTTTAGGGTAAAGAATATAATGTCCATTATGATTTATATGATGCCTCCTATGTTCTTCCTGATATTTATGATTGTTAGTATCATGTTAGGGTTAAAGCTTTGATTTTTATTGTTTAGTGACATGCTAGGGTTTGTTATTAATCTTGTTAGTATCATGCCTAGGATCTTGCTATTGATATTATGCTTTAACATGATTATTTTTATTATGATTTTTATGATGATTATAATTATGTTGCTTGATTTATATTTATTATTTATTGCTTGATCACACCTTTTTATGCATGTTTAAAGGGAATTTGTATATGTAATCACGCTTAATAAGATAATTAATAATCTTGTTAGGGTTAATATGATTATAATTCAAGTGATCGCCAATAATAGTTTTATTTGTGCATTAATATTCAATCAACATAGATAAACGGGTTTAGGGTAAACCTATTGATTGCATGTTAGTCAGAAAGCGCACATGAATACGATTAGAATAAAGTAGAGGCCTATTATTAGGGCAGGTTCAATCTCTTTTAGGTTGGATTTGTACCTTCATCCCCGAACTACCGGTCATGGTTCAAGACCTATTGGAGTTGACGATCTCTTGGATCGTTAAGGGGTGTAACCTTCACCTCGTGAACGGTTTACAAGTTCCTAAAACTTGTTGGCGACTCTTTTGCTCTATCTTCTTTCCCTTTGGACGCCACCGTACTTTAGTGTATGATCACAGTGGGGTTCAAGCTAGGGATAACGCTTGAAATATTCCCTACAACTGGCATAGCAGCATTAAGGATCAACAAGCAGTGATCTTTTCGAAAACTATCACAGTGGAAATAAGAGGCAGTTACAGGCGTAGCAGTCTTCAGGCGGTATTCTCTAGCTTGCGAAAGATCGTCACAACAAATCGGTTACCTCTAGAGACGTGTGATCGACGATGCAAGATACGCGTTTCTTAACTCTCTTATCTGTTTTAACTAACGCTAGTTTACAGGTATCGGCGTTACAAGAGTAATTTAGGATCGCAGAACGTTTAAAATTATTCTCCGGCCCTATCGATACTTTGACTTTCGTTTTCAAAACTCACGTTTCTCCAAACTCAGTCAAAGTGGGGGCTTCTGTAGACACCCATTTGTGTCTCCCCAAAACCAAACCCAGTGATGAATACCTTTCATGTCATTTGATTATCGAACAAAGCAAAAGTGTAAAAAGTCTAGTGATGAGGATGTTTTTATTAAAATATCTCTTCTTTCTGTTTTTGAAAATATTTCTTTTTTTACCCTATTTTTTAAAAACGTGCATTCCAGTTTAGTTTGGTCCATGATATGGGTCCAATAATGGTGTAGTTGGATGTATATTGAAAAGACCTTTCCAACGATATATTATAAGCCCAATTCCGATGAATAATGAGGAAGTTATGGCCAAAATACTAAACTGGGCCCAAACCGAATTTTACCTACGACCCAATGATCATATGGAGGGTCCAAAGGTTTAATGCTATTCCTAAACTAGTAGGATTAATTAGAAGCTTCTATAAGTTTTTAAAAGATTTTAATTATCCTTTTTGAAAAGATAAGATTAAAGAATTTGAGTTAAATAAAACTTTCCTTTTTTAAAACTTTCCTTTTTCTTAAATCCTAATTCCATTCGAATTTAAAGATGTTTAAAGACAGTCAGATTTTATTTTCGTGCCTCATAATATTTATTTAAATTTTATATGGTTGGATAGATCTTAAAATTATCTTTCCAATGATATATTATAATATTAAATCCGAGGTATAACGAAAAAGATATGAATGAGATATGAAACTCTATCCAAAACTGACACCGTTCAACTATTTCGGACATATCTTTTTATATACAAAAGATTTTAATCGGATTCTAATTGGGTTGGAAAGTAGACTTCAAGAGCTTTCCAACAACATATTATATGCCTTATTTAGACTTCGGGATCAAAAGATATGATAAAAACAAAAACGTGTGAAACTGATTATTAGCGCCTGACGTTAAGAATTAGCGTCTGGCGATAAGGCTTGGCGCCTGGCGCTAACCTTCAGCGCCTGGCGCTAATGTCCAGCGTCTGGCGCTAATCGTGATTTATTCTTGTTGAAACTCTAATTCGTTTTTTTTATCCATCCGACTGATTTTCTCTATAAATAGCCTCTTAAAATTCTGTTTTCAATCATCAATTTTCATCAATACTCATCAACTCTAATCAACTCTCATCAAGAATTTCTTGATTCTCTCTCTCTTTCTATCTTAGCCTTTTACAAACAAAATTCCTCATACATTTAGCACTAGACACACCTAGCCAAGTTCGAAGTTGCCTTCGCCCTAGACGTGAAAGGTTTTAATTTCAGAGGGTTTGGTCCCAAATCTCTATTCCAATTATTTAATTTAATTCTTTGATTATTATTTTCCTTGAAGTTACTAACACGTGTATTTTGTTATTAGAAAGAGGTACAAGACATCCAAGTAAGTGCTTTAATTGGTTTCATTGTTATTATGATATAGAAATCATGTCTAGGTTGTTATTATGATTCCTAGTGTCATGTTAGGGCGTTTTGATCTTCCTAGTATCATGTTTAGGGTAACTTTAATATCAAATATGACAATTGTGATTCCTGCTATGCTTCCTATTTTCTTTCCTAATATTCATGTTAGTATCATGTTAGGGTTAAAGCTTTGATTTTTATTGCTTAGTGACATGCTAGGTTTTGTTATTAATCTTATTAGTATCATGCCTAGGATCTTGCTATTGATATTATGCTTTAACATGATTATGATTATTATTTTTATGATTATTATTATTACTATTTATTATTATGTTGTTATATTTATTGTTACTGCTTGATCACGCCTTTTATGCATGTTTAAAGGGAATTGGTACTTGTAATCATGCTTAATAAGATAATTAATAATCTTGTTTAGGGTTAATGTGATTATAATTCAAGTGATCGCCAATAATAGTTTTGTTTGTGCATTAATATTCAACCAACATAGATAAACAGGTTTAGGGTAAACCTAATGATTGCATGTTAGTCAGAAAGCGCACATGAATACGATCAGAATAAAGTAGAGACCTATTATTAGGGCAAGTTCAATCTCTTTTAGGTTGGATTTTTACCTTCATTCCCGAACTACCAGTCACGGTTCCAGACCTATTGGATTTGACGATCTCCTGGATCATTAAGGGGTGTAACCTTCACCCTCTGAACGGTTTACAAGTTTCTAAAACTTGTTGGCGACTCTTTTGCTCTATCTTCTTTCCCTTTGGACGCCACCGTACTTTAGTGTATGATCACAGCGGGGTTCAAGTTTGGGATAACGCTTGAAATATTCCCTACAATAATGCTTTTCGTAGTGCATAAACAATTCAACTTTAATCCAACATGAAGAACGGGTTTTTGTAACATCATCGCACTTCCTTTTCGGGACAAGAGGCCAAAAGTAGGTGTGTACACAATCCATATGATGAAGGGACTCCATTGAATTACAATTTGATCAAGTGATTTGCTCCAACAATCTCAGTTATGGGATTGTTGTTGAGGTAAACTTGTTTGAGTTGCTGTATTCAACATTTAAGTTTTCCTCTTGATGGATTAATTGTCATTAGTCATAATGCTTTCAATACTTTGATTCATTTCAAAATGTGGCTACAAAAAGCCTATTATAATAGCTTTTGAACTAACATATCACTGCCTTAGTGTTTCTCACATCCTAAAACTCAAAAGACACCTAACCACCAAATCATTAAAAACAAAAAAAGACTTAAACCTGCACATAGAACTGAACACTGTAGATGGTTATGTGTGACAGTACATGTTGTTGTTCTACCTTCTATTTGTCTTTGCCTGACTTAGTCTGCATCAACCTCCATTTCCTCTTCTTCATCATGATTTCCTTAAGGAGTTGGCCTAAACATTGTGTTTAGGTACTCAATAGCCTCAAGCACTACTTCCTTCTGTACCTTGACTTTATCTGGCAGGATGCCCATATTTTCAAGTTTTTTGTTGTTCATGTGTGGGATATTGTACTTGTTCCCTCCTTGTGCCTTGAGTATTTTGATCATGAATCTTTGTAATGTGACCGAAATGTACTTGTTCACTTCTGGTTTGAATGTGTTGTAAGATTCAATTACTTTCTCAACAAGTTCATCTAGATTCTTTGGGAAAGACTGATATTGTAATGACTGAATAGACCTAAAAAGGACTAAATCCAAAACATTTAAGTCTGGTGATTGTGCTGGTTGGAAAACAAATTGTATGTTGAAGCCATTTGCTGTTCTTGTTGCCATAAACTCTTCATATCTTGGTATTTGATGTGGCATTGCATTATCCCACTGAATAATGACATTTTTAGGTAGACTCTCAGGCCAATTTGAAACAACAGCTGGTATAAATTTGTTTAGTAACATGTCTCTAATGACTTCTCTGTTGACATTTTGGAGTGCCTTTGTGACCATTATCCCTGCTACTCTGTTTTTACTTGATTTCTTAGCTCTTTCTTGGACTGTAAAAGGGAATATCCCTGTAGACACCTATTTGTGTCTCCCCAAAACCAAACCCAGTGATGAGTACCTTTCACGTCGAATCATAATCGAATGAAGCGAAAGTATGGAAAGTTTAGTGTTGCGGATAGTTTTAATTTCTTTTCTCTTCTCTCTATTTTTGAAAACTTATTTTAAGAAAACAGTCAATCCAGTTTGGTTGGTCCATGATATAGGTCCAATATTAGTGTAGTTGGATGGGGCTTGACAAGAGCTTTCCAACGATATATTATAAGCCCAATTCCGATGAATATTGAGGAAGTTATGGCCAATTTACCAAACTGGGCCCGGTTTGAGCCTTATATGCGGCCCAATGATCTAGGGGAGGGCCTAATATGATTTATCATTCCTAATGCAATTAGGAATGGTTTTAGTCTTTTAGATTCTTCTAGAAGGTTCTTTTCATTCCTAATTCAATTAGCATTGATAAATTGACTTTTGTTGACTTTTCAGAGTTTTAAATTAAAATCAAAGAACATTTTTGAGGAAAAGATACGATTTTATCCTCCTGTACGGCAAAATTTATCAGATTTTAGAAAACGCGTCAAAAACAAGATTGCCGCCTAACGCCAGGCATTGGCGCCTGGCGCCAATGGCTAATGGCTGGCGCCAATCTCTTTTTGCGTGCGCCAGACTCTGTTTTGTTAATTTTATCTTTTCGGCTGATTTTCTCTATAAATAACGTATTAAAAACTCCGTTTTCATTCACCTACAATCAGTTCATTTGCAATCATTAATTCTCCAATTCTCTCTTAATCATTCACCAATTCTCATCAAGTTTTCTTGATTATTTCATCTTTCTCTTTCTTTCTCAAACCTTGCTTTTCAAATACAAAATTCTGCATTCGCAAGATCTAGAAACACCTAGCCATATTCGAAGTTGCCTTCACCCTAGACGTGAAAGGTTTAATTTCTGAGGGTTTGGTCCCAAATCTCTCTTTCAATTATTTAATTTAATTGTTTATTTATTATTTTCCTTGAAGTTACTAACGTGTGCATTTTGTTATTAGAAAGAGGTACGAGGCATCAAAGTAAGTACTTTAATGGTTTTAATTGATATTATGATGTAGAAATCATGTTTATATTGTTATTATGATATTCCTAGTATCATGTTTAGGGAAAAAGTTATAATATCAAATATGCTTATTATGATTCATGCGATGTCTTTTATTCTCTTCCTAATATTTATGATTGTTAGTATCATGCTAGGGTTTGTTATTAATCTTGTTAGTATCATGCCTAGGATCTTGCTATTATTATTATGCATTAATATTAACATGAACATGATTATGATTATAATAATTATAATTTATAATTTTTATGAATATTATTATGAATGTTATTTTGATGATTATTATTTTAATATGACGATTATTATTATGATTATTATTTTTATGATTATTATTATTTTGATGATGATTATAATTTTATTATTATGATTATGATTATTATTTATTATTTATTATTATTTATGTTGCTTGCTTATATGTTGTGATTGCTTGATCACACCTTTTATGCATATTTAAAGGGAATTTGATACTTGTAATCACGCTTAATAAGATAATTAATAATCTTGATTAGGGTTAATGTGATTATATTTCAAGTGATCGCTAATAATAGATTTATTTGTGCATTAATATTCAACCAACATAGATTAAACAGGTTTAGGGTTAATCCTATTGATTGCATGTTAATTAGAAAGCGCACATGAATACGATCAGAATAAAGTTGAGGCCTATTATTAGGGCAGATTCAATCTCTTTTAGGTTGGATTTGTACCTTCATCCCCGAAGCCTTATTTGGTTCTAGACCTTATGGAGTTGACGATCTCTTGGATCGTTAAGGGGTGTAACCTTCACCTCGTGAACGGTTTACAAGTTCCTAAAACTTGTTTGCGACTCTTTTGCTCTATCTTCTTCCCTTTTATTGGACGCCACCGTACTTTAGTGTATGATCACAGTGGGGTTCAAGCCAGGGGAGTAACGCTTGAAATTTATTCCCTACAGTTTTTTGGCGACTCCACTAGGGAAGATTTCTATTTGAATTCCTGAATTTGTTTCGGCAATGATTTAGAATGAGTGGATGAGACTCGAAACGTTCTAAGTATTTCATGTGCGTAATTTTGATTAACATTATTATCATATGCATAAAAAAGATCTCATTTGATAGACCATCCGTAATGAGTTAAAAACATAGGATTTTACACGTAGGAAATTTGAGAAATATCTTTCACAACTAGGACCGAAATAACACCGCGAGAAACTGGAAAATTTTATCGAGCATAGAAAGCTGCTGAGGCATGTGGGAAGTAGCGCCAGAGGCCAGAACTTGGCGCCAGACTTTTAGCCGTAGCGCCAGACGCCAGCATTGGCGCCAGGCGCTACAGTTAAAAGCTGGCGTCAGTCTCTGATTTCTGGCGCCAACCTCCCCCAATATCGAGCCAGAAATATGCGTTCTAATTTCGATCGGTTTTTCGTATTGTTTGCTCGATCCTACTTCCTGATTGAATTTTTTCTCACTTTTCTGAAACCCATATGTTTTCTACATATGGACATAACCCTATGGGAATTCATGCTCCAACTACCCGATTGAACGCTCCGTGCAACAAAGGGTACATCCGAGATTGTTGAATTGACCAAACCATGGAAGCGAGTTTTTTCTAAAACTCGCGGTGTCCCATCCACTCGCGCCAACCCTTCACGGTTAGGCTTCCGCGTGGTGCATCCGAAAAATTAACCATGAACCCTCTTTGACTAAACCATATCCCGAAATTTAGAGTACTAGAGCCATGGTTAGGTTGCAAACTCATTGCATCATATTGTGCCTACTTGACTAATTGTGCATTATTTGTTGTGCATACTCTATGTGTTTTTCCTAACCGTTTGTTTGACTTGTCATTAAGCCTAAATAAACTAATTAATAGCTAAAGGAATTTATTTTATTAATTAATTAATAAATTAGAGCTAATAAATATACCTAAAATCGAGTCATAGTTCCTTTAAGTCAACCCGGATTTTTATTCCCGTATAATGCACAAGCGTCAACTTATTTTGGTCATAACTGGAGTTTTAGAAAGAACTACGAGTCTTACAACCTATGGATCTGTAGCCCCGAGTTTTATCTTAAATTTGGCGTTGGTTTCATCTAACTCAGAGTCACAGATAAAAAGTTATGACTAAAATACCACGGCCTATCCAGTTTAATACATATACGTGAGGTCTTAACTTAGTCTTTGCTTGAGTCTAGTCACATAGTCTAGCCACATGGTCATGAAACGAGTCTTAAAATGTCACCTACACTCACTAGTATTAGCACACACTTTGTACATACTCTTTTCACACCATGACCATCTCTTAGGTTTATGCATGAGTCGGTCTTTTCCGTCATTTGAGTTGGGGGTACATTCTATTCCTAATTCTTCATATCCCTCCATCTACATCGTTTTTCCTTCATATTCTATTCCATTTTTCTTCACTTCCTTCATCCATTGCATGTTGAATAAAGTTTGAGTCAAATAATTAACAATGAGTATCACTAAATTCCTTTTCCACAGTACTTGGTCGAGGAGAGAAGGGCGATTAATTAAGGGCAACACCTTTGTTCAGGTCTCGCTTTTTGATAAACCGATTCGTCAAAAGATGAAGGCTAAAAAGATAATGGCAAGTAAAGAAGAAGTCAATGAGCTTAGGAACCAATTAGTTACCGTGACTAAGACACTGAAGCTACTCACACTCAAGATCAATGATCCCGTGAAGCAACAACAGATGGACCTCATGCAAGAGAGTCTAAGCAAGCTATCTAGTGACTATAAATTTCAGGGCACGAGTTCACAAGGGGTCTCGCTGGACAAGGAACTTCTTCCGCATAAGTTCAACGCCACTGACATCCCTAAATTCAAGGCAACAGATAACCCTTATTTCCATCTAAAAGCTTTCAAAACCATAATGAGCATTAAGGGTATCGATAAGAAGGTTTTCCCCTCTCTGTTCCCACTATCTCTCGAAACCGTTTGTCAACAATGGTTCTTTTCTCTCGAGAAAGAAAAAACCTCTTCTTGGGAGTCGATAACAAACGCTTTCATAGATAGATATAAGTGCAACATCCAAGACGAAACAGACTGTAGACAACTCGAGATGTTAAAACAAAAAGAAAACGAAGGGTTCACTTCTTTCTTCAACAAATGAGGGAAACTTCTGCTAATATGGTCAAGGCTCCTACCGAAAAAGAATCTGTGAGGATGTTTATCAAGAATATCCAAGGGAAGTATTCAAAACACTTAAAGTACCAACACAACTTGAATACTTTCAAGGTTGTCTATAATATAGGCATTGATATTGAAGATGACCTTCTGAAAGATAATAGTGCTAGAGGAAAAAAGAACGACCATCCTTCTTCTTCCTCTCCCATTAATGAAGTACATGCCACGAACGCCTCTAAACCCCGAATCCAAATATCAAAGAGGGTGTTCACTCCACTTGGTATGAGTTATGAAACAGCTTTTGAGAAGCTACATCACAAAGGACTAGTCATGCCCATAGGGCCTATCAAAGATCTGGTTCCAGAAGCTAGGCCACCTAAGTGGGACCCTAATAAGCACTGCAAATATCACCAAGGATCTAAGAAGCAACTAAGGAAAGAATTCACCTCCATTGGAATGAGCTACGATACTGCCTTCGATCGACTCCATGCCAAAGGACTCATTACTCCCATTGGACCTATTCAAGATCCCGCACTTGAAAAGAGATTGCCTAGTTGGAGTGCAGACGAACACTGCAAGTACCATCAAGGTAGGGGTCATACTACTGAGAGCTGTTGGAAGCTAAAGGAGGTTATCCAACATTTGATTGATAATAACAAGCTTCCCATGCCTCCAGTTAACAAGAAGAGTGAGTGATGATAAAGGAAACAACACAAGA